CGATTGCCCAGCGGTTTAAATTCAGGGGGTCCGGCCGTGCCCATGGTGGCCTGTGCCTGTCCCAGGCGGCTCCGGTTTGTCACGGTGCCTCTCCGGGGCCGTGTCCCCAGGTGCTCTCGCCTGGTGCCGGGTGGCAGCCCTGCGCGCACACACACACACACACACACGCCATGTTTAGAAGTGCAGACGGTTTGTCCTTGGCTGCGTCGGTTAGAAAACATGTTCAGTGTTCCCTGGTTGTGTCCATGCACTCTGGATGCTGTGAGCTCCCGTCGGTCTCGTCTGTGTCGCAGGCTGCCCAGCCTGGAATGGGGGCATGTGTTTGGGGTTTCTGAACCCCAGCTCCAGCCTCGAGCCCCATCTGAGCTGCATTCCCAGCTCCTTCCAAACCAGAGTTAAATCAACAGTCCAGCCCAGTGCTTGGATGCTTTTGTTTGTTAAACCACTGAGAAGTCTGGCAGAGCTGAAGAGCCAGCAGTGCCGGGAAGACCTCGGTCTGTTCAGAGAGGTGGTTTTCCTTCTGTGTTTGTGTCGTGGTGCTGGGGGCTCAAGGCGAGTGATGGGGCTGGTTGTTCCCGGAATCCAAGGGAGCAACCAGAGAGCTGCTGGGGCCGAGAAATATTTTCTAATCATCCGACCAGCAGCTGGTGAGGAGATGCTGGGTGGCAGCGAGGCTGGGGCTGCACAAGCACTGCCGGGGGGCCTGACCCCCTTCCCTGCTCTGGTCCTTCAGGATGAAGACGTTTTGTTCAGAGTGGGATGTCTGCGGGAGCTGTCCCTGCAGAGGGGGGTTCCCTGCAGAGGGGGGTGCCCCTGCTAAGGGGGTGTCCCAGTGGAAGCTCCCAGCACAGCTCCATCCCCAGCTCTGTCCCTGCCAGCCCAAGCTCTGCCCAGGCTCCAGGCTGTGCCTCAGGCCAGGGCTGTGGCCAGGACAGAGCTCCTTTGCTGTAGGTGTGACAGGTCCAGCCGGGGCGCAGCTGCCAGCAGCAGTGCTGGGAATTCCAGCTTTAGAACAAAACCCTTCTGTTGGCTCTGGGAGCTCGAGCCTCGCCAAGGAGGTTAGCTGAAAGGTTTCTGCGCCTGGCGTGATCCCTTCTCCAGAGCAGTAACGGCTTGCTCTGCCATTTCCTGAGATCTGTAGCAGGCGCTGGATGAAGGACACATCCTGCTGCCAGAGGAAT